CAACACTTAGGTGCTTTATGCACATAAGAAAGATGTCTAATAAACGGAAGTTGAAGGAAAGCAAAGCTGTACAATACTTGTTATATTGAATAATAAGCCTATTATAAGCACTCAGAATGGAGTAAACATGGTGACTTTATCCTTCACAGCCAGGAAATGAGAGGTAGAACTGCCAACCAAAGATGTTCTTCTGTCCAGAGAAGCCTGCTAGGTGTCAATCGGACTGTAGTTGACTCGTTGACCAGATCAATAAAGATCTTTCAGATGGAAAAGCATGTAATACTGAACCCTGGCGGGAGAATCAGCTGTGACTCTCCACATGCAGGTTCACTGGCTGGTTGTTTTGGTTTTTTTTTTTTTTACTTGATTAAGTAAAAATGTTAGAAAATTCAGTCAAAGGTTAAAAAGAGTTTGCTAGACACTTTGAGGGAACCAAAGGTTACAGACCTTTCCCAAGGAAGCTCTAACCTTATTGAGAAATACAGTGTATACAGCACTATCAAAGTAAATAGTAAAGGAGACCAACAGATAAGTAGAATAATTCATGATAATGACTGTGAGGGTCCGAAGGAGGAGCGATTCCTGTGAATTTAAATCATTGAGTAGTATTCCCCATAATTCCTGGGAAGATCTTCTGATCTAAGTAACACTAACAAGAGCTAACACCTAGCCACAGACACATTCTCGAGACTTGAACTCAGGCTCTGAGCTCTGGCTCCTCTCTCTGGGGTGGCTGCCTGCACTGCACTGAGCAGAGTGTGAGTGAAAAATGCGGGAAGCAACTGCAGGACGGAATGACTGGGCTGGACTGACAGGCTGTCACCAAGAGACTGACTTAGACATCACTGCTCTCCAGCAGTGTGCGCTCGCGCTGAGAAACCTTCCTTTGACTGAATTGCAAGTTTATTTGGTACTTTCACTGTATGTTGTTCTAGAAACCCATCGCAAACTACCAAAAAGTAGAAAGACAGCTAACTAAGACAGCCAACTTTCCCTCACTGTTAAGTACATCTTGTTAACCACTAAGGGAAATAGTAACTTTTTATTTTCTCGTTTAGTTTTTACTTAGCTGGTAATGAAATATTGTATTGTGAGCTTAAAGAAGATAAGGTTCAATGGAGTAGTAGTGTCCCAAAATGTAAAAGTAAGCAAATTCTCTTTTTAAGATTTAGACTGGGGTCAGGGGATCCCTTTATGCATTTAGATTAACAAGTACCCCAAAGAGCTTTTCTTTAGGTGGCTTAGGTCTCTTAATATGGATCATATTGGAATTAAAATGGAGAGGTTTTAGAAAGGATTATTTATTAATTCATTTTAAGGACAAAAAACTCAATATATGTTAACATATGAAACATTTCTATGGAAAATTTCAAAAACAGAAAAATAATAGAATAGTGACATTTTTGCAAATCTAGCTTGAAGAAAGACATCTGGATTGGGCGACTGTGTTACCAAGGTTCACGTCCCCGCAAAGATTCCTGTACCAGGGCTGGGGATTTAGCTCAGTGGTTCCGGCGCCTACCACGCAAGTGCAAGGTCCCAGTACCAAAAAAAAAAAAAAAAATTCTTGTACCATGAGCATGAGAATGAGAAAAAAATGACGATGTTATTGTGAACCTTGATTTAAAGAACAAATGTATTTATAAGTTATCAAACAGTTCTCAGTTAGCACTCAGTTTTATTTTTAACCACAAATATATTTCTTATTAAATTGTCAGCATCTCTTACAAGAGAAACCCTGACGTGACCTTACAAATGAATATAGGTATTCTGGACCTTAAAAAAATAACTTGTTCCGAAAGTTCATTTCTATATTAAAAGTTTGAATTGGAGATAATACATTTCTTCTTGGAAAACCTACTAGATGGAAACTGAATTTACACAACTAGCTTAGAGAACTCCTACACTGATGAATTGATTAAAGGCAATTCAAAAAGCTTTACTAATATTATCTCAGTTTTTTTTGCTTCCACCTTTCATTTCTTCTTTTTCTCTCGTTTCAAAAGAGATCTTTTGGGACCCCCTCCGAAGATAACAAATGGGAATTACACCTTCAGTGACATCACCATGTTTCAATACTTTGAAGCAGTGACTTACAGCTGCAACCCCACCCTGGGGCCGGACCAACTTTCACTGGTCGGCAGTGAGGTGCTTTACTGTGCCGCCCATGAAACGTGGAGCAGCGCAGCCCCTGAATGTAAAGGTGATCATCTCTCCATGTATCTGTTTCTTCATTTCTGATTACTGTGGGAATATTTTGGAAATAGTTTTTACCTACAAGTAAGCAAGGGAGAAAGGGCATATGTGTTTCCTCTTCTTGTAAAAGTGGTTTCTAATTTAATTTAATCTAGGTCAAGTCAAATCAAAAAAGTAATTCTAGAGCTGGGGATTTAGCTTAGTGGTGCAGCACCTGCCTTGCAAGTGCAAAGTCCTCAGTTCGGTTCCCGGTACTGCAAAAAAAAAAAAAGTAATTCTAGTTTCAGCGTTTTCTGTCCCTCACCCCAACACTTTCTCTACATTCCGTTCAGTACAGTGTGAGCTACTATGTTTATGCACGAGTTAGGGTGCTTTTGTTTGAAACAACAACAATAACAAAATAAGAAAGTGGTGTCTTGTGCCACAAGAACGTAGGAGTTGTACCTGCAGGTAAGGATAAAGCTGATGATAATAGAGTAACCCTCTCACTGGATATTGAATGATAAACTCTGAACAAATGACGAAGGCACTGTGGAGCGACCAAAAACATGATGACACTGGGTGGGGTTTGCTCCTTGGGTCAGAGGCACCCTGAACAGCAGCAAAATACATTCTCTTTTCAAGTATTTGTGTAACATCTGCAAGGCAGAAAACCGTCTCAGCAATAAGGGCATTTTAAACAACTATTGAAAAATTGAAATCAGCATTTTATCTGATCACAATGGAATGAAAGTATAAATCAATGACAAAGACATCAAGGAAATCCCCAGATAATTGAAAATTGTGCAAGGCACTTCTAAATAACCCATAGCTGAATGAAGTCAGGTGAGAAATTAGAAAGTGTTTTGAATAGAGTAAAAATAAAAACACATATCAAAATATCAAAATTAGAGGAAAGTACAGCTAAAGCATTACTTAGGAGGAAATTTATAGCATGAAATAATTATGTTAGAAAAAAGTCATAAATCAGTGCTTTAAACCTGCACCTTAAAAAACTTACAGCAAATCAAACACCAAGCAAGCAAATGGAAAGAAATGATAAAAAATAGAGCTGCCATCCATGAAACTGAAAAGAGAAAAAACCATCAAAGAAACCAGTTCTTGAGGATAAAACAGATAAACCTACAGCCAGATGGACCAAGAAAAAACACACACAAATTACCAATATTAAGAATGAAAAAGAGTGCATCACTAAACATCCTGTGGATATATAAAGGATAAAGAAATGCTGCAATAAATATTGCATAGAACTTAATGCCCTTACATTTACTGGCTGAAATGAAATTGATAAATTTCCTAACAAACCCTAAATACCAAAACTCCCTCAGAAATACAGATAACCCCAATAGTCATATCTATTATACAAATAGAACTTGTCATGTATGACCTTCCCGTAAAGAGAACCGCTAGCCCAGATGCCCCTATGGGGAATTCTACAAAACATTTAAGGAATAAACAATTGTAATTCTACACAACCTTTTCAAGAAAATTCAGGAGGAGAAAACATTTCTCAACCCTTTTTTTGAAGACATCATCACCCTGGACAAAAACAAAAAATTACAAACAATATCCTTGATGAATATCAAACTCTAAATCCTCAACAAAACATTAGCAAATCAGATCCTGTGGCACATAAAAAAACAGTGTTTACCAAGTAGGATCTAGCCCAGGAATGCAAGACTGGTTCAGTGCAAAAATTAATCAGAATAATTAATTATATCCAGAGACCATAAAGAAAAAAATGGTATCATCTTACTAGATACCAAAATAAAAACCCTGTTTGACAGAATTCATCATTTTTTCATGATAAAACTTCTCACCAAACTAGGAATAGAAACTGTCTCTCTAACTCTGAAAAAAAAAAAAGGCATCTACAAAATCCTACAACTGACATTATACTCAATGGTAAAAGACTCATTTCTTTCCAATTAAAAAATAAACTAAGGCAAAACGAGGCAAGGATGTGCACTGTCATCTTTATATTCAACATGGTATCAGAGATCATACCCAGTACAATAAGACAAGAGAAAGACTAGGGATACATATTATAAAAGATGAAATAAAATTGTCTCTGTAAACCAGCTACCATGAAACACCCATTAGAATGGTTGAACTTTAAACACACACACACACACACCTGATCACACTACATACAGTGGACCTCTGACTTACAAACTCAATTTGTTTGTAAGGGCTGCTTGTAACTCAAGTTGGCTGTAAGTTGAGACTATTTTCCCATAAGAAATAATGGAAATACACATAATGCATTTCAAACCTTCCAAAGCACCCTTAACTAACCTTTTCATAATAAAAAGCGTAGTATAATGTGCATAATTTACCAGAAACACCAATAATGTGCCTAGTTTACCAGAAAAAACAGTTTCATACTGTACTCACCATTCAGATTGACATCTTTGGCTTGCAGGAAGGGAAGATGAATGGAAGGTGGTTATTGTTTGGAAGAAGAGGCCCTTCTGTAAGAACTTCAGGGGTCTGGCTCTCTGGTGTCCTTTCTCTCCTTGGGAGAGTCTGTCGCCCACTAAGACCTGCTTCTGGCTAACTGGGTTTCAATCTCTTTAGAACTAAAACTGGTCTAAGGTTGTGTGTTTCTGCCTTTTCTTTAACACTGTTCTGTAGTATGATGTGACATTGCCATTAAGCAAGTGAATGCAACGATTGGCTTTTCCTCTGTCTGGGTGGGTCTTCTCTACAAATGTTTGTAGCTCTGTCCATTTTTTCAGGATTTCCATTATTTCAGAAGAAGAACTTTGCTGCACTGATTGTTGATACTCCCCTTCCTCTTCAGAAAGCTCCTCAGCTGCCATTGTCTGCAGCTCAGCCAGAAGCTGCTGATGTTCCTCTGTAGACAACTCCTGAATGTTCTTCCACCAGCTCCTCAACATCGCCACTGTCGACCTGTGAGCCATGGACTCTGTTATAGTGACAGTGTCCTCAACCACAGGGTAAATTGAAGGCTCAGTCTTCTCTACACAGCCTTCAAAGTCTCTCCTGTATAATTTTAGCACATATTTTCTTCCAGGCAGATCTTAGTGTCCTTAGAGAAACGTTGGCCCAGGAATTCTCAAGGTGTTGTAACATTCCTTCCAGAATTCTTTAAGTGTTAAATCTGTATCTGAGACCATCTGGAAGCACTTTAAGAACAATTCTGTGGTGTATAGCTTCTGAAAGTTAGCTATAACCTGCTGGTCCATAGGCTGCACTGGAGGAATTGTTAGGTGGGAGGAATTTGACTGAGAGTCGTGGGAATTCTTCAGCCAATTCTTCTTCTGAATCTTGTGGGTGAGCAGGAGCATTGTCGATGATGAGGAGAGCCCTGAGTGGTAAACCTTTGTCCTGTAGATATTTCTTAACAGTAGGACAGAAAGCCCCCCTGATCCACTCAAGAAAAAGTACTCTTGTTACCCAGGATTTTATGTTAGATCTCCACATGACCCCTAGCCTATTCTTCATGACTTTATGTTTTCTAAACACTCGAGGGGTCTCAGAATGATAAACCAAGAGAGGCTTTATCTTGAGGTTACCAATTGCCTTGGCAAATAGCAGTAAGTTTAACCTATCCTTCAAAGGCTTGTGACCTGGCATTTTCTTCTCTTCCTGGGTAATGCATGTTCTCCTGGGCATTTTCTTCCAGAAAAGGCCAGTTTTATCACAGTTGAAAACTCGATGAAAGCAAAAGCCATTTCTTAGTGTCATCATTTTGAAGTGGTGTATGCAATTTTCAGCAGCCCTTTTATCAGCACTGGCTGCTTCACCATGCCTAGTTATACTATGAACCCAAGTTCTCGCTTTAAAATTGCGAAACCACCCATTACTGTCACAAAATATTTCACCATTATCACTTGTCAATGGATTATCCTTCATGAGATCTGCATTTATAGCCCTAGCCTTTTCACAAAATATACTCAGGCTATAACCTGACATTTGCCTTTCATTTATCCACACTAATAATAGCCTTTCTACCTCCTCTAACACTGTTGATCATGACTTACTAATTTGAGTGACACTTTAGCAACACTAGCTTCCATATACAAATATTTTCTCTATAAGATTGTTGAAACGGTGGATTTTGACATGCTGTACATATTAGCAAGATCAGTCACAAGATTGCCACTCATATTTATTTATAATTTTCTTCTTCTTTTCAATTGTGATTGTTTTCCTTACGTTTCCTTCCTTCCTTATTTTCTAGCTTTTGGGGGCACCATTTTGATAGCAGTAATTGTAGCAATTATATAAAGCACTGACCGAAATCATGTCCACAAACATGTGGATCTGGGCTCAGACTGATGCTCATGTACACTTACATATGTTTTTGTGGCATCACAAGTCTTTGTTTACAACCCTACAAGCAGCTGGCATTCAGCTCCTAACTCAAGACTTTGATTGTAAGTTAAAATTAAAATTCCATTCGTAATCTAAGTTGTTCGAATGTGAGGCCAGTTGTAACTTGAGGGTACACTATATATGAAGCAGTTGGGATTCTCATAACTTTGCTGATCAGAATGCAAATTGGAGGAACTTTGAAACACATTTGTTGATTTCTAAACATACACTTACATACAACTCAGCAACATAAATGGGTCCCAAAGGGCATCATGCTGAGTAGTATGAGCCATTCTAAAAAGGCTATTGTTCCATTTATAGGCAGTCTGAAAAAACAATCCTGTGGTAGAAAATCAATTATGGATTGGCTGGTGGTGGGGTGGGAGAGGAGGAATAAATCTCAAGTGTGTGTGTGGAGAAATTCAAGAGAGGGACGGAACCTTGCCTTTACTGCCCCAGTAGTTTGTGCGGTTGTTACTGCATCTGTAAAATTCGTACGTAAACTTGAAAGGGTGGATTTTACTGTATGTAAATTGCACCAAATTTTAAAAAAACATTAGCTGGGACAGAACACGAGTGAAAAGATCACTGACCCTGAAGAAAAATCCAACCTGATTTAAGAAGGAAAATTTTTAAAGAGAGAGAGATGCTTACAGAGCTGTGGGAGAACATCGAACAGTCAAACATCGTGTAACTGAAGTTTCAGGAAAAGAGCCTAGAAAATTATTTGAATAAATGCTAGCCAAAAACTTATCTGAGCAACCTCAGATTCAGGAAGTTCAGCAAAACTTGAGCAGGATGAATAAATCATTAAAATTTACCAAAAAGAAAGAAAAATGAACCTAGTAGTTTGGTAGATTTTAATAGCTTGGTAAAACTACCAAGAACAAAAGAGAAAAAAAGCAGGCAGCAAGAAGAAAACAACACCAATGAAAAAATGTATTACATTTGGGAGGGCAGTGGCAGATAGGATCTAGTAAGAATGGGTAAGTTCTTTTAAGAAACCATTAAAGCTGGAAGGTACTAACAGAAAAAAACACTTAATCTAGAACTCGTGTCAAGGAGAAATCTTTCAAGTTGAAGGTTAAATAAGTGAAAACATTTTTAGATAAAGCAGAGCTGATTGAGCCTCACGAGTCAACTTGTATTACAAGAATTGCTCAAGGAATCTCTTCGGGCTGAAAGGAAATGATATAGATGGAAATTCTGTTCCAAGGGAAAAAGGAGAGCCTGCTTCTAGTTTGACCCAGCCCATTTGCCTGGATGCAGTCTCCTTAGATGCTAATCGGTGCTTACTGTGCCTGACCCTGTTCCCCTCCCCCAAATTTTCCTGACCCATTGATGGACCCTGAAATTAATCTAGTGAGTCGTGACTGCAGTTTACTTCTTAAGAAATAGTGTAGACAAGGGTTAAAATGATTAAAATGAATAATCGATAATTTGAAATAGGAAAAAAGGTCCAAAGATGAAGGGGTAAAGGGAGGGGAAGGGGAAAGGAAAGGAGGGAAAGGAAAAACTATGAGAAAAGAAAAAAATGGAAACGAAGTCTATGTAAATAGGGAAGGGCAGAGGGGGTGAAGGGCACACAGGTAATGGGGAAAAAATAAGAACCAAGATACATCATGTACAGGTAAGGCACATGTGCCCAATGATAAATGTAAATGAATTGTATACCTAAAATGTACCAATAAAAGAACTTAGAAAAAAAAAAAAAGAAATAGGATAGAATGGGAAATCTGGAAGTGCACCAATAGAGAGGCTAAGTATTGAGATTAAGTTTTATTTTGGGTCCATGTGCTTGTATATTGGTTTACAACATAAAATGTGTTTTTTCATCTCTGGGTTGCAGCCAGAAAAGATTTACAGAACTCTGCTCCAACTCCATCGGGCTGTCTATCCCTTGAAATCCCCACTTGTATTTGTTTCTACATAAATTTCTTTTTGCCCATCTTTATCAATTTTTAAATTTGAGTTCAAGTATACCTTTCCAGAAAAGTCTTTTCCTTGTCTTTACAAAGAGCAGTGCACCATTATCGATGTCAGTGTGACCTTAAAAAAAGCTCTAGAGCTAAACAGTATCAAAAATTCGTTTAAACTTAGCCTGAATTTGTCCAACCTTTCCCAAAACTTGTCAGCAGTGGAGGGGTGGATAAGATACAATGATAATCTGTTCCTTAAGGAGAAAGTTCCTCTTTACCTAGGATTAAAATGCTTTCTATTAAAAATGTGAAACACAATGTACTTTTTAATTTTGTTTTTAAACATGTTCTATTTCTTGCCTCTTTGTTCCTACTGCAAATGCATACTTTGTACTAGTTTTTCTGGTCCTGCATTACAATACATTTCCACTAAATCCTGAAGTTTTTTTCTTTGCAGTGATCAAATGTCCATCTCCAGTACTTAAAGATGGAAGACAGTTATCCGGATTTGGAAAATCATTTTACTACAAAGCCATGGTTAAGTTTGAGTGCATGGCGGGCTTTTACCTTAACGGCAGCGATACCATCATGTGTGGCACTGAAAATGCTTGGGAACCCTCCATCCCGCAATGTATTAAAGGTACAAAGTTGTCTTTTTTCCTTCTTGTCTTTTTCAAGAGTTTATTTCTTTGACATTAATTGTTGTTTGGGGGGTTTTGTTGTTGTTCTTTTTTTTGAGGGGGGTACCGAGGTTCAAACTCGGGACCTTGCACTTTCGAGGCAGGTGGTGGCACCACTGAGCTAAATCCCCGGCCCTCTTTGACATTAATTCTGTCTCCTATGCCAGCCGAAGGCTTATCTGGCAAGTCACACATAGGCCTTGGGTTGCCTCACAGTTCAATCAATAGCCAAGTTATAAGCCAATTCACTATTATCTTTTTTAAAAAATATATTTATTGGTCCATTTTAGGTATACAATGCATTTACATTTATCACTGGGTGCTTGTACCTGTACATGATGGATCTTGGTTCTTATTTTTTCCTCATTACCTGTACACCGTTCACCCCCTCTGCTCTTCCCTATTTACACAGACTTTGTTTCCATTTTTTTCTTTTCTCATCATTTTTCCTTTCCATTTTTCACTTTCCTCTTCCCCTTCCACCACCCCTACACCTTTGGACCTTTTCCAATTTCAAATTATCAATTATTCATTTTAATCATTTTCATCCTTATTTACACTCTCAGTTTCTCACACTAGAGAAACTATTC